TGCTGTTCTCTGTTTCTTAAACATCTTTATAGGTATGTAATTTTGTATAATTCTCCTCCTCCACCCCTAGTCACCAGCTTTTTCCTTTGTTGACCTCTTCCCCAATCAGCTGCTGAAACAAGATTATGCTCGATGTGGTATTTTAGTTCTGCAGGTGTTTTAAGGGTCAATGGAAAAAAAGCCTCCCACACTGGTGATGGGGATTTCCTCTCAAGCATTCATGGGCAGGGCTCTGGTGAATGCTCAGTCTGACACACAAATAACTCTCCTCCGTGGCGTTGTTAGAACTCCCTTATATCCTCAGTGACTTAGTCTTATTTACTTAGCAGTACTTCTGAAGCATCAACTAATTGCCATAACACTGGTAAAGTAGATATTATAGTATTAGTTTTTGAAAGATGAAGACTGAGGAAGCTGAAGTGACTTGTCCAAGGCCACAGTCGTCTGTGTCAGAGAGGGGACAGGATCTGACCAAAATCCATTTCTGGAAGCAGTTGATTGAAACGGGAACTTAATACATACAGTTTCTAAGAAGACAAAGTCCTAAGTGTTTCAAGTCCTGCAGTTCTTGCACAAAGCTATTCCCTGAAACTACTCTTTATTCTTGGTTTCTCAAGCACATTGGGCAAAATGCTACTATCACATCAGTATATCTGTAGTGACTTCAGTCATATTTCTTCAGTGTAGTCAGCTTCCAACTGACTGTGTGCATGCATCCCTTATCATTTCAAGTTACCACAGAAACCTCACAGGCCACAATTAGCTGGGGACAGGACCCTGTGCACCTTGCATAGTCATTTTCATGGGCTGCCTAAGAGCTTTCCCACAATGTATCTTTTCTTCAGAAACTGACAGCTTGTCCACCACGTATGCCTTTTTAGTGATTTTCCAGTTTGAGTCATTTGGGGGGGCTGAGGGTGGGGGATGCTGAAATATCCTACTTTGACATTTTCCAAATGAGATTTTATTGCTGGCTTGAAGTGCTTTCTTGTTTCTGAAAAATAATGCCCCCTACTAAAAAGGGGGTTAAAAAAGTTGAAAGCAGAATAAAACTGAAATTGTAGAAACAAAATGTTCCAGTTCAACATGATTCAAAATATTTCTGGGGAATTACCATTGTGATGGTTTTATCCTTTTAGAAACCCCAAATCAATTTGTAAATACCCATTCCCTATCCTGCTTTGATGGCTGAGGGAAAAGGATATGAAATGCAACCCCGAATGCTCTGTTCAAAAATCCTGTTGGTCCCATTCTTCGCTCTGCATGGAGCACCTTGTCTTGACTTCACAACTTCTCTCAAGTATATTCTTTCCCAACACAAAAGAATGTATGCATTGAATTTCCTGACATAGGATCACATCTGAGGCATTTTTACCACAGGTTATTCTGCTTGGCCAATTGGATCATGGAGTAAAAGAAGGGCTACAAACATGTGACATGTCAGTCCTCCTGGAAGCGAATTTGAGGTGAAAGCCAGTTGCAAGTCTTATGTGCTGTGAGACCCAAGAGGCCCGTTTTATAATTGCAGTAACCAGAAGAGCTAGTTAATGACTTAATCTGGTGATTTAGTTCTATGAGAGTTATACAACTGTGTTTCTAAGAAAGAGTAAGATGTTGGGAACTCTTTGCATGTAAGTGCAAGGTAGGAATCTACCGGATTGCTTTCACTAGACAGAATTTTTGCACAAAAAACTTGGATACCTCAGTCGCTTAAGCTGAAGTGCTAGATCCAAGCTTTTTCAAGAATTACAAATTATTTGGAGGAATCTTGATTTTGCTCCCAAAGAAAGAGCTGACATGGAATTTACATGGCAAACCTGAACATCCAATGCCCTGCAGACACTCTAGAGCATCACTTCCAGCTGCTGCTTCCAAACAGTATGGGTCCTGTGCTGTAGGGGGTTATTTCAGATACCTTAAGGCATCTCAAATAGCTATAAATGCCAGTATGGGTGGCCAACTAAATTAAGTCCACACTTTTTCCTGAACACTACCAGGACATAAAAATGTTCAAAGACATCCCGAGATGGACATATGAAACAGAGGCACACCAAAGCAGAGGCACTCAGAATCACTACATTCCACTTGAAAAATCTTAGAGCTTGCATAGGTTCAACTGTCAACACTGTATGTTTCTTATTGTTGGGCTAAGAGCGGCTAGCATGATAACAAGGAAGTGTATGAACAAGAGAGATGTCATGGTTACAGAAAGCAAGCTTGATGACGACAGCATAACCACAGAGGAGTTTTGTATGTTGCCCAGTGGTAGCCTGGCACTTAGTTGTTTTCTTTGGCAGCAACAATCTCGTTTAGCAGCTCATTAGAGAAAACACACAAGAGCTAGACAGCATGATCCAAAAACAAAAAACCAAAAGGGTATTTTTTTAACCTCAGTTTCTTCTGCTTTATCACATACATAACCGCAGCACATTTTTGCATCTTCTTTGCAGGTTCCCAGGAGAGCAGCTGCTTTACTGTAGTGTAAGCTTTCTTACTATCCTGGTACTTTTAGCTTCTCTCTGACCATGTCTCTTCTCTTTCAGAGCTACATCCTTCCCACATGTTATGAATATACCAACTTTTGTCAGTCCTTTCTAACAGGCAGTCTAGAATAAATCTTCATCTTGGATCATCTCTCAGGCTTGATTTTTGGATAACATTTGGCCATTTATGATGCTTTTCTCTTTTCTTCTAGTTTTGCAAGTTTTAAAGGTCAGAAGATTTTATCAATCAGATGCCTCACAGTGCATGATGTATTTTAATATCTCCACAGTTGTATAGTTATTATGTGAGTTAACTCCAAATAGGCTTATAAAATGTTGCAAGTTAATATGGGGCTTCTTGTTGTGATCTTCTCTTCTCTGTAATGCTCATACAATTTCAAGAAAGTCAACGGAATTTCTGTATTACATGTGAGAGCAATATCTTGTTATATAGCACATCACCAGGGTAATAAAACTCTGGTCATAGTCTGACTGAGTCCTTCAAAGTGATATCACATTTTCAGTTTTGGCTGAATGCATGTGCTTATACTCGCACCCACCCAATGTCCATTGTGTCCCTCAGTGGGATCCCTGCATATGCACATGAAATTTTCTACACAGAGTTACTTCATCTGCACATAGCCTGACGATTGTCTACTTTGACATGCAAAAGCAAATTTGTCTGCAAGCCATTTTGTCGAATTCTGAAAATATGTTCCACTGCTGTATTATATGTTCAGGCCTACTTGTTACCCCTGCATGGCTGCTATCAAGACTGAGAGCAGGTTTGTTACTTGCTCAGCCAACTACTTGGTGATTCCCTATAGGTAACAGCTTCCCAAGTGCTACAAAACTGGGGGACTGATTCTACAAAGCCATCTTCTCTGGATGGTCACGTACTGGAGCATAGCCCAGGGAATAAAGCAGTGTATGAATGTATGGGTTAGTGCAAGGCTATTCCACAATAAGATAAAGAACTAGATGGTCTTTCTGCTAACTATGGGTACAAAGACTACAACATACACCTCCAGTGCTCCTGTGGCAGGTATAGCTCACCCACAGTCCTTTGTTATAACTGTGGTAGGTAGATACAGCATTTTGTCATTACCTCTGCTATTCTGGTGAGGAACTTCAGAGCCAAGTTTCCTAGTACACAAGTAAAAGAATTTTCTGATAAACCATGTTTTGCACATATGTCCAGTTTTGCATCCTGTGCTGAACTTCGTTGTGGAGAAGCAGCTGATCAGCTGTACTGAAATTAATAGCTCTGTGCACTTTATAATTAAAGGAACTGTTTATTTTTACCCAGGGTACAGCGGAACCAAAAAATACCTCAGAGATTATTTTAAAAGAGGCACTGTTATCATTCATGCAGTCTAAAGACTCACAAAGGACTAATTCGGGCAAGGTTTACAATCCCAAGTATTTAGTTGATTCAGTAGATGAAACAACTTGCCATGAGCTCTTACCTCCATGTGTATGGGCAGTCTGGATATATGTATAATTCAGCAGTGTTCTATTTTCTGCTGTCAACATAGAACAGTACGGATGATTTTCTCTGAATAACTTTGTGCTGCAAAAAAGCTGTCATATTGGTTTAGATTGTTTTAATTTTAGTTTTCATGGATTATCTCTCTGAATTCATATTAGTACCACCTTCTTTTTCTTTTTTCTTTAATTTTGTCCATCTCTGCTTCATCTTGCAGCAATTGCTACCAAATTTTCTGTTGTGCTACCTTACATGAGTAAAATTCTTTCCTCCGTCTCTTTAAGGAACTTCCTTTTTGAATTCCACATTAAGAATTAGCATCAGAATTAACAAAAGGCTTTAGTTTTCCAAGATGTGGCACATACTGTCTCAGTCCACTGGTGTACTCAAGCTAGAATTTCAGCTGATGTGTCTAAGCAGTGCTAGTAATATTACATATACATGTAAATACATTCTTAATAAATTCTAGGGGAAATTTAGAGAACTTCAGAATCATTTAGGAAATAATTTGTGTTTTAGGCCATGAGAAATCACACCTGCTGGCCTAAACCCTGCTACCTAAATTCCACGTTTGAAGCTGGAACCTAAATATGAGCTAAATCTGTATCACATTTTTAAAGAACATTTCCTTGCTTTTTGTGCTCTTTATGAACCCCATGACCCCATTTGTTCTTTGAGATTAAATGTTGCTTGTAATCATGAATATCATACAGATATTCAACCTAAACAACTGGGGAAAAAAAAAAAAAAAGGAAAAATCGCTGAAGAACTCACTTTTGCCATGTCTATCCAAAGATTTGGGTCAGATCATCAGCTAGCTCATCATAAAGTTGTTTCACTGATATTAAAGAAGCTATGCAAGTTCACGCATTCTAAGGACTACTCATATTCTGAAGAGTTTTTAATCCATCCATCTTTGATAAACACTAGCTATTTTAGAACTGATCTGTAAGTCGTATTTCAAGCCTATAGTCATTTAATTTACTCTTTCTCCACCCCCCACCGCCCCCTTTAACTTTTTCCTTTAGCACTCCAGATATCCCTGGATACACTGGCAAGGTTCATTGGTCAGCAACCCATCCGGCAAATTCTAATCTTCCATCAACAACCCCATCAATAATTGCATGAATGCATGGGTAGGTATGAAGTATATTTCTCAGCTTGTTCAGAAAGATTACAGGGAAAATCCTAATTGCATTTATTTAGTTAAAGAACAATTAAATGTTAAGCATGACATTCCATTGGCTTAAAAAATACAGAACAGTTGGGGTTGGTTCCCACCACATTATTGTCATGCTAATCTGAAATCCTTTTGAGGTTTTAGAATTTTTCTGGAACATTGTAAGGTATGTATTGGGAAGGTACCTTAACACTGAGGTAAATCATGATTTCTAAATGTGGATTATTTCTACACTGAGAAATTTCTTCTTTAGCTATGGTTGCTAAGTCATGGCTTAAGTGACTATTTTTTTTGAGTGGTTGATCTGTGTGTGTTTTGAAAGAGGCCCATGAATGTCAAAGATAAGAATTCCTAAAAGAAAAATGTGTGGTGTTGTGTTTCCAAAGTGGTGTTGGCAGACTTATGAAATGGGTATTTGCTGTACAAAAATAGTTGTTAAAAATGGGTGGGTTTACTCAAAAGGCAGTGAGGGGCAAAATCATGCCATGCCCCACACCGATGCAGCCCAAAACCCTGTGCCTATGAAATCATCATAGCCCCACATCACTATTGTGGCTACCTCATGAAGTGAGTTAATAATCTTTATTTTCTCCTGCTCTTCCATACAAGGCTCGTTAAAACTATGGGCCAGTATAAGTATTTAGGTGTCTAACTCTTGTTGGTTTCAAAAGAGCTGGACACCTCAGAACAGCTGAAAAACTGTTTTTCTTTTGTTAGCACAAAGAGCTTCTGACACTGGCAAAGGACTAACCTAGCCTTTGTCCCAGTAACTTCAGAATAGCTTAATAAGTTTGTTACCCCTCTCTCCTTTACGATTTTGTGCTTTAGATTCTGATTTTTTGTAATCCATAATGATCTGGGACACGGCGACACTATCCCAAGTTTCCATGAAATTTATCATAGAATCATAGAATTGTTAAGGTTGGAAAAGACCCTTAAGATCATCGAGTCCAACCGTTAACCTAGCACTGCCAAGTCCACCCCTAAACCATGTCCTCAAGCACCACGTCTACCCGTCTTTTAAATACCTCCAGGGATGGAGACTCAACCACTTCCCT